CCTGGGAAGGTGCCAGAATTCCTGGGATTTGGGATCATTCCATGGAGTAGGAGGATCCCAGGAATTCCTGGGATTTGGGATCATTCCATGGAGCAGGAGGATCCAGAGAATTCCCGGGATTTGGGATCATTCCCACAGAGCAGGAGGATCCTAGGAAAGTGCCAGAATTCCCAGGATTTGGGATCATTCCACGGAGCAGGAGGATCCCGGGAAGGATCCAGAATTCCCGGGATTTGGGATCATTCCATGGAGCAGGAGGATCCCGGGAAGGATCCAGGGAATTCCCAGGATTTGGGATAAATCCCAGCTGGGAATTCCCAGCTCCTTCCTCTCCGAGGGGATTATTCCTGAAGAGATTCCTGGTTTTTTGGGGGTTCCTGGAAAAGCTTTTCCAGGTTTTTTTTGAACTCCTGAGGGAGGAGCAGGGATGGGATCCCAAATCCCACAGGGAAGCAGGAAAATTCCAGAGGGGGACAAAGGGGTTTTCCCGGGATTATCCCCAAACATTCCCACCTGGAAAAGGCTTTTCCCAGGGTTATTTTTCCCAGGATCATCCCAAAAATTCCCACCTGGACCAGGCTTTTCCCAGGATTATTCCAAAAATTCCCACTTAGATAAAGCTTTTCCCAGGGTTATTTTTCCCAGGATTATCATTCCCAGGATTATTCCCAAAAATTCCCACCTGCCCCAGCCCTTTCCCAAGATTATTCCAAACATTCCCACCTGTCCCAATTATTTCCCAGGATCATCCCAAACATTCCCACCTGGACAAAGCTCTTCCCAGGGTTATTTTTTCCAGGATTATTCCCCAAAATTCCCACCTGGACAAAGCTTTTCCCAGGATTATCTTTCCCAAGATTATTCCCAAACATTCCCACCCGAACAAAGCTCTTCCCAGGTTTATATTTCCCGGGATCATCCCAAACATTCCCACCTGCACCAGCCTTTTCCCAGGATTATCTTTACCAGGATTATTCCCAAACATTCCCACCTGGACAAAGCTTTTCCCAGGATTATAATTCCCAGGATTATCCCAAAAATTCCCAGTTGCCCCAGCCTTTTCCTGGGATCATCCCAAAAATTCCCACTCACTCAAGGCTTTTCCCAGGATAATCTTTCCCAGGATCATCCCAAAAATTCCCACCTGCACCAGCCTTTTCCCAGGATTATCTTTACCAGGATTATTCCCAAACATTCCCACCTGGACAAAGCTTTTCCCAGG